GGCAGTGGCACTTCTGGTGGTTGGGCTAGATGTCCTGGCCATTGGTGTCTCCTATGCCCTCATCCTCCAGGCAGTGCTGAAGGTACCAGGGAGTGAGGCTCGACTCAAGGCCTTTAGCACATGTGGGGCTCATGTTTGTGTCATCTTGGTCTTCTATGTCCCTGGAATATTCTCCTTCCTCACTCACCGCTTTGGCCACCATGTACCCCATCATGTCCATGTTCTTCTGGCCACCCTGTACCTCCTTGTGCCACCTGCCCTCAATCCTCTCATCTATGGGGTGAAGACTCGGCAGATCCGCCAGCGAGTGCTCAGGGTTTCTATATTAAAGGATTGATCTGAATCCATTCTAGTTACTTTCTTCAGAGGTTCCTGACACAGGCACAGCCAAGAACTCATGGTTGTATGGATTATATGGATAGAGGCCATTCTACAATGAAGAGTCCTTCTAGTCCTACTAGCCCCATGCCAAGAACACCCCACAGACATTTGGCTCCACGTTCTGTTGGGATGTATCTGGATAGCTGGATCATGAATCGTCCCTGCTCCTTGACACACACACATGTTATATTTTTTTTTTCTCCTGGTGCCCACAGTTGTCTACTCCTTTTTTCTGAGTGATTTCAGAATAAGATAAATGACAGCTCTGATTATGATATCTTTCCTGCAACCCTGTCTGGGATGGAAATGGAAAGTCCCAAGTTTTGCTCAGTTTTAGAGCATCTTCAAACCCTCTAAGTTTGACAGTGAGCTCCAAATCACTGGACTCCTGGGTAGCAGCAAGGTCTCTTCAAAGCAGCTGAGAAGACCACTTTTTAAGAAAACACCCTTTATCCTAACACTGATGTCATTTTACTTAAAAGAAACATAATTGATACAGGTAGCTTTGGGCAAGGGAACTTAGTGCCAGCTGATAATGTTACATGGGAGTTGGAAAGCCACTGGATGTTAATTTTTGTGTATTGAGTCATCAAATATACCAATAAATTTTAAAATAATAAAAGAGTACAGAATATATTATCTTGCCAACATAGAATTTGAAAACCAATAACAACATGATGTCAATGAAAAGCCCTAAATACTTGGGGAAAAAAGCACATCTCAGTAACCATATATCTAATAAGAAATCACAGCGAAAGTTAGAAAATATGGCTATACATAGTGGTGGTATTCAGTGTGTTGTTTTCATATATGTTCATGGGAAAACTATGCCAGATTCATTCCACTGTATTTCCTTTGCTTATTCCCCTTCCTTCCCTTCCATTCTCCATTGTCTGATCTACTACACTTCTATTCCTAGCCTTACCACCCCCACCCTTTGTTGTGGGTTAGCTTCCAACTGTCAGAGAAAACATTAGACCTTTGGATTTGGGGGACTGGATTATTTCACTTATCATGATAGCTTCCAGATCCACCCATTTACTGGCAATGTCATAAAATCATTCTTCTTTATGACTGCATAATCCTCCTTTGTGAATAATGCATAGCAATGTATAACAGTTGCTCTGTAAGTTTGTTGCACTATGTAGGAAATAACCTATCACTTGAAGGTATTCGGTGATAATGACATATTCTGTAAACCCTCAAGCAACAAATAAAACTTCAAAAACAACAAATTATAATAAACCAAAAGAGGAAATAAGACAGAGTTAAAAATAGTTCATCCCCAAAAAAAGAATAAAAACAGGCGTGTACTTAAAAATAACACCAGAGATGGTAAGAGGGAAGGGCTATGTGTGGGTGCCATAAAATAGAAAAAATTACATCTGTTGATGTACATGTCCTTTCATATCCTCCTAGAGTGATCATTTGCTGCTATTCTAACCCCTCAAATGCCCCCCCCCCAAAGCTTCTTCCAGAACAATATGAGTAAAACCAATTTAGATCATTCCCCTCTGTCCTTCTTTGGTCTCAGGGAAGTTCTATGGATAAAAAAAAAAATTATATTAGACTTAAGTTTCATTGTTTCCTTACAGTATTTCAGCTGCATTAGTATATAATGTACTTTATCACACTCCTGTTACATTACACATATTCTTACCTAAATCAGAAAATATTTCCCTGATTTTTTTCTAACGCTTTTGTCTTACTTTGTCTGAGTGTTACATGTTCTCTGTTATTAGAGTCTTAGACACAATGAGATAATTCTCCTTGTTCTTTACTCCTTTGAACACAACTATTAAATCCCTTAGCTCTTCTATCAGCCTTCTGTCACCAACATTTCAATCCTCTGCTCCACCTCTAATCTCACGACATTTTGCACATTTTCTCAGAGAATCAGAAAGAGCTATAGGAAAAAAACTGAGTAGTGATGAGACAAAAATCTGAGTTCACTTTATCTGTCACCTCTCACTTTGCTCCTTTGGTGGTTGCTATCCCAAATGTTCGTCCCTCTCTGGGCAGAAAGATGTAAGACAAGGGAATGAACTTTCCAAGGCAGGAGTAGGATTGGCTGTGAAAGAACACTTAGTGAAGAGGTGAAGGATCCAACTAAACACCAATTGGAATTTTGATTTTCTGAGGTGTTTCCTTGACCTTCCAGCAACCTGCATCACTAATTTTGCCATGTTTTCCCTAAACATAGGCCAAATGTCACTTCTTACAGATGAGCACATCTACATATGGTTCCATTTGCACAACTCCAGGTGGAGAAGCAGACTCTTATTATGACAAATTCTCTCATTAAAGAAGTAAATTCACCCTTTTCTCAAATGTCTACATGTGAGCACTGATGTCAGACTAATCTTGATCCTGCCTCCACTAGCTCAGCTCTAGGCTAGCTCCGCTAGTTTTAGACATCAGATTGACATCCCTGCAGCATTACTCCCTTTGGGCCTCCATTCCCCCAGGTTGGACAATCTGGTTCTCAAGTAGAGGTTTGGAGCTCTACCACTGTCCCCTGAACCTCATCATTCTTGAACCAAAGGTCTTAGTGTAACCATATCACCCTTGTTAATAGCAAATCTCATCAGGTAAAATGACA